AAAAATACTTTATATTATTACCATGTAGCTATCCTTGTGCTATTTTTCAAATTAACCTTTTCATCTTTTAGTTGGTTTTTCTTTTAAAGTTTATGTTTTTCTTTTAATTTTTTGTTCAAACAAAGAAGATAAGCATGACACATTTTTCTGATAAAAAAAAAATGAGCAAAAGTTTATTGAGATTTTTTGAACATACACAAAGCTTCGATAAAAAACTAAATATGATTGCATAAAAGTTATTCAATTCATAAAATCTTGTTTTAGTTTTCAAGAACTTAATAAACTATTAAAATCTCGTTCTTTTTCTATACTTACAATAAGATGATCGTCAATGTTTCATATTCACCTCTCTTATGACGATGATGATGATGATTGTATATACCCTTAGAGAACATTTTCTTTTTCATACAAAGTGAATATCAAGGTACGAGTACAACTAATGAATACTCTTGATAAGCATCTTGCTCGAAGCAATCTCAATGCATGAAAGCTTATGTGTATGATTAGCAATGAAGAAGAACAAACACCTCAGATAGATATTTTATGTTCATTGTTTGATCATGATCCAACTTTTCTAAAAATCAATTTTTACATGTAAATTCGTACTTTTTTTGTCTTCTAAAAAGTATAAGAATAATTTCTTATTGACACGTAACCTGTCTCTCTTCAACAACAAAACTATACTTAAGTTTAAAAAGAAAACAACCCATAGATTTTTAACGTAAAAAGTCAAGTGCTTTTCTTTTCTAATGATAGGGTCTGTTTTTCTTTTGGTCTAGATATGTCACACTTCTTTAACGTTTAATACGGCTGATGACCACAAGGGGTGGGGGAGTTGAAACAAAAATGTTCACGCTTGAAAGTAAAGGAGAGACAGATAGAGATAGAGACATCAAAGTATAGCGCTACGCTGCTTTACGCCAGCTATTTGCACAAGCACACGACTCGTTGAACAATCTTTCTCCTGTTCTCTCTTTTTTTCTTTTTCTTTCTCTCTCTTTCGCCGTGCATTTGATGAGCGAAGGCGCAAATTTTGAATATTTGACGCGACCACATAAAGTGCATAAAAGAAAAAAAGAAACGAACGAACGAACGAACGAACATACGAGCCAGCATCGCGTTTTGTTTATACAGTAGCTATAGCAGGCGAGCTATTATATATATATATATATATATGAATATTTTCTTTTTCTTTCTCTAACGATCGAATCAATCGTCCCTGAACGAGCAACATTGTGTCTTTGTTGATTCTTTCGTCCAGTTCGTTTCCTAGCCATTTCATCCATAGTTTCATACGAACGAATCCGGGAAAAGAACGACACACATGTATTTCTATTAAAAACAAAAGACGTCGAAACAAAAAATTGAAAATCAATATTCACAGCATGACAATAACGTATAAAGGTAAAGAAAACAAAAATCAAGAAGTTTTCCGAACTACTAATGATTCTATGTCATAGTTAAATTATTCTAACTTCTTTGCATTATGTATGATTTTTAGCTGAACATCATACACGCAATCCTATTCTTCTATGTTTTACGTTTAGCGTTAATTAGATATTTTATTACATTCATTTCTCTTACTCAGTAATCGTACAAGACATCTATTCATAATCGTTAACTGTAAAAAAAACGCTTTCATCATTACTACCATCATTTTTAGGATAATATACCCAAGGGAAAACTCATTTCTTGTTATCCATTTATCAACCTTTTCTATTCTATGTTTGTTTTTCTCATCAATAGCGTGTCAACTCTTGTAAATTCTTCAGAGAGACCATGTGCTCATCTTCTCATAGTTGCATCATAACTTTAAACAAATTATTAGAAATATGTTGAAGAAGAAGAAGAAGAAAAAAGAAAGCTGTGTATATACACATTCACATTTTTCGATATACACTTAAGATAAACTATTTAAATAGTTTTCTTTTTATCTAATTGCATTCAAGGTAGACACACAGTTCTATTATCCAATTATTCTAATTTTTATCAGATATATGTTATTTCTTTTTTTCTTCTTCTTCTTCTTCAGTTAAGCAAATAGAAAGAATATGATTAGTAAATTATTCTTGAAATTTGACATTTATTATGAGAGAATAAAGCTTTTTCTCTATCTATAACCTTCGACAAACACCTATTGAATATGACAACTGTTATTTCATCTATTGAAAATGTTTAACATCTCTTATCTTGATGATTTACTAGTTCATACATAATCGTTCGTTTTGTTCTCATGTCTTATGAAATATGACAGAGATTTATCTCTCCTCCTCTTTTTTTTTCTTCTTTTCTCCTTTCGAACGTATAAACGAGACGTACATGTATACAGACATGATGTATTACTTTGTATTTATTCATTTACTATTCGTTCTAGAGTTTGTATAGATACTCAATTAATGTCGATGAATACAAAAATGCTTCATCAACAACATTCTCGTTTATCAAATAGTGATGATGATTCAGGTTGTGCTTTGGAAGAATATGTTTGGTGTCCACCTGGTCTTAAAGCAGAACAAGTTCGACAATTTTTCAAATGTTTCCCTGAAGATAAAGTTCCATTTCCTAATTC